GTAAACAATTTTAACCAACAGGGCTGGGGAATAACCAGCTGGCAAGCCTTTGCTGGAATGAATATTCCTTCTTTCTTGCACTGAATACTGTTTATTTGTGATATTTTTTCCAGATGACGATTCAGGAAGTGTTGATAATGGCTACTGTGGAACACCAAGTCCAGAAAATAAGAGAAAGAAGCGAAAAAGTAAGCTGTATTCTCTTAAAACTATCTGCTATAAAGGTCCAGTTCAGGTTGTACCATTTAAAATTTGATTCAAAGGGCTTAAAATATTGAAATAAAATTGCATTGATGGGGAATTTTGTTCATTTAGTTTCAGGAGGTGATTCCAGTGCGTGTGGAAGTTTGAGCAGTGGCCTGAATAGGGACAGTAAGTTCATTCACTTACAGTGTTTTTTGTTTGTTTTTAATACTCCAGGAAGTGAGGAATGAACTTGTTCGAAGCTACTTCATTCCACTGCCAGAGAACAATCGAAAATAAACATACAACTGCTTTTGTTTTGTACGTCTTAGCAGTAGAATTCAGAGTGAGGACAGTGAGACTGAAATATTATAGTTCTGTTGTGACCCCAAACTTGTGGCCTTCAATAAATACACGGAAAAAAAGATGATTTATTTACCGGAATCATCAAGGTTCAGACAGAATTTGAAAAGCCTGGTCACTGCTCATTATATAATCTGGGATTTGTCCAATACCAGTGAAAATAACCCTTTGATTTTTATTCAGGTATCAACGCCTCCGAAATACTTACAGATCGCCTGGTGGCTAATTCTGCCGTCATCAATGAACTGCATGTAACCAAGCCTATTGTCACACAAAGAGGAGACATTGCATATCACTTCAAACTGAACAAGGAGGAGCACGACCTTCCTCTTGAAGAGGGTGATATTGTCGGGTTTTTTGAAGATCCTGATGGCAAGAGTCATATCGAGAAGCTGACGCATTTTAATACAGCCAAAGCCAAGATGGCGGGAGTTATCACTAGATCAGCGTATCTTGAGGCTAAGGCTCCTGTAGAAGACAAAGATAAAGGTAAAGATGGGAAACACTTTGAGGAAGCAGAAGTACATCCTTCCTTAGCATCTCCCCTCTACCCTCAGGCATCCCCCTCAGGCATCACCCTCAGGCATCCCCCTCAGACATCACCCTCAGCTCAGGTACCCCCCTGCGCCAAAGGGTTGTCGCCCAAGGTGTTGATACTGGTACCAACTTATCGAACGTATAAAAATTATGTAATTAATCAGTTATGTGCGAGCAAAATCGTTTCGATATCTGATGTTGGTCTTTTAGCAGCCAGAGTCTGTAGTTCTAATTATCATTTTTCAGCCTACGATTTCTCTCTCGACACAAATTGTAGAAGCACGTGGATTACAAGAATCACAAATGGGAAATTGTTGTGATTTATTGTCAAATTCTCCCACCTAGTACTCTAAGAAATGCACGAAGACTAGTAAGGAGGATTTGTATGTTTATCACCCTCACCCAAAACTGATAAAAAGGGTCATCAACTGGTAAACTGTAACTGACTTAAGGGGGGATTCTACCTGAATTTCAATGAAATTTTAAGAGGTTTAAAGAAGGGATAGAAGGGAAAAAAAAAATTGGGAACACCAACAGACAGTTGATACCCACGCGGGTGCTCTTGCGTGGTTATCAACTGTCGTCAATTGTCAATCTACTAATTTTTAACTTCAAATTCTAATTTTAAAACTACATTAAATCTTCAATATTTCTTATTTCCCTAAATTTTACAACTCCTTTGAGAAAAACTATTTCCTCCCCAAAATACCCAAAAATCACCCAAAAATTTACAAAACACCCCATAACATAGATTCATGGGATGAGTGGAGAGTTTTTGGATTGCTTGAAACGCGAACGAGATATTTCCATTAAACCCATGTTAAGTGGCGGAAAAATGGCATTCAGGTAGAATCCCGCCTTAACCTGAGCCTCTGTACTGTTTGCAAGGTGTAATATCATCTCTGAATCTTTTGTTTTTCAGCTTTAGACGACCTTGTATGTGTAATTGGTATGGTGAGTGTCAAAGTTCTCGGCCCAGTTAAAAACGGTGAGCGAATCTACGCCTCTCTGGAACATCCGGGAGTTGCCATATCTCAGAGCCGTGTTAGTGACGCTGTGTACAGTGACGCCTTCCTACTCGGCCAAGCACTTGAGAGCCAGGACGCTAAAGATGACGAAGTGAACCTGGTGCAGTCCTTTGTCTCGATCTTGTTGAGCATTTCTTCTGGTCACGTGACAGGGGCCGTCGGTGATTTGCGTGAACACATGAGAAACGATTTGAAAACGGAAGTGAAGCAGATCAAGAAGAAATGTTTGAGAGGTAACTAGTGTAGTTGCATAACTTGTAAAACAGTGATTATTTTAGTCTGAATGAATCAGAAGTTACAACATTGGTCCAAACTTATTTTCCATGTTCATGACTAATAAGGTGATTATTTGTCAGTCTATCTGACGTCATCCACTCCATTTGCGGGATATTAGAACCTACAATTGACCTGCTCCTAACGTAACAAGGCTTCACAGCTCATCGCATCGGTATCGCGGAGGTCATGGGTGCGAATCCCGTGTAGCCTTGAAATTGTTTTTCAGGCTAAAAAAAGCAATTACTTGCACACACTGCTAGGATCATTTCATTCATTTCAGCTACTCTATCTGTAAAATTCATAAGATATGGTTGACAGTACGAATTCAATAGGCCGCTTATTTCTTGGAAATTGTGAATCAGTTTCAATCATGACGTAATTATTTGACAATGTATCTCATTCAACATCAATTTGACATACATTACTGACTAATTATTTCAGGTTTTCGCCGCTGGTTGTTTGCGGGCTTCATCCTAGCGGTGCTATTAGCAGTTTTGCTGTATCAGTTATTCGCCCCAGGCACCGCGCTTCGTTACTTAAGATGTCGGCAGGGATCCATTGAACCGCCTAGTCAAATGTGGTTCACATTCACTACTAGTGATAAGCAGGTATGTTCTTCTAGTTTTCTGAGCAATCTTAAACTTTTCTCTAAGGATGTGTTTATGACCGATGTATTCAATTTCAATTCTGATTGCATGTACACTATTTACCGATTACATCGTTAATGTTTCTTTAGACTATAGACTATATAGCTGTAAGAGAAAAAAGAGTAAATATTATGTACAATTATACAGAACAGTTGGTATTGGAAAAATATTGCGAGCATTCCTCCTTTTCTTTTAAAAGATCGTCGCGTGAAAGGCTGAAGATTTTTGTTAAACATTTATTTCATCACATCCATCACTTACATTATTACTAAGCTTGCATTATTATACTTTTTAAAAATTACATTACATTATGTTAAGTCTGAAGATGCCGGCAGAAAACGTGATATTAATGAGCATCTCTTTTTCTTAAACCAGATTCCTCGTGTACATGGCATCGAGTTTACATTTGACAAGCTAAAAAAGAAAATGGATTTGAACTTCGGCAAATAAACTACACAGGTAAGGGAAAAAAGCCAACTCTAAACTAACATAATTTTCTTTTGGAAGGCTTAGTCGATTATCAATTATCAACTTGAAGTTGATAAAGGTAAATTAACCGTCGCAGCGAATTTGGAAAACTGACGTTTCCAGCGCTTCGTCCTTTGCTCTGATGAAGCGGCTAACGCTCGAAACGTCAGCTTTCCAAATTCACTGCGGCGGTTATCAGCTCAGTAAAGTGTTTCACTTGTCCGACGACGCAGCACAACAGTTTCTTCTGTTAGCCTGAGATAAGTTCCCAATAATAATTTGCTTCTGTTGAACCTTCGCTAACCATGCAAGGTGGTCTTCAATCTCATTTTCAAAAAAAGACACTACAGTTGTAGTTCCCCATACATAAGGCAACATCCAATAAGTTGATTCCTAATTGAAATTGTTCTTTCAGACGCGCATTATTATCTGAATCTTGACCGGTGTGCTTATGGCGGGATTCGACTTGTGGGTTCGCCGCTGGACAACAGAGAGATGGTGCGTGGTGCAGAAATAGTAGCTGTCAATCAAAACTGCACAACTGTTTATTATCACGCGGAAGAATGGTCCCCGTATGGATCTGGCAGGGACATAGTGTGTACATCAGATCCCTGACAAAGGGTGGATCACAAGATTTGTAAGAGTCTCTGAGTTTGCATTGTCGCGATACCCGACAGTTTCTTCTTTATGAGAAGTTCAGCTTAAACGACAGTTACATTCAACGTGGAATGTTGAACAATCCAACTTAGTTCTACGAGTGATGGTAACGCCGTGATTGCTGCAAATAACAAGCTTTCTTAGAAGCATTGGAAAAGACAGAAAACGTTTGTCAACGAAGAACATAGTTCATTTTAATAACTTCGTTGTTCACGTAAGAATGAAAAATTAATAATTACGTTTGTTTATGCATTGCGTTGGCTGGGCCAAGTATACTTGTTAGTAACTTTGTATTCATATCGATTACGAGTGCGCGACTATTGCGTTCAGGGTTGCATTATCATGTTTGCTCGTTCGTTTAGTCTTTGAAATTGGTCATTCTCGTTTTCATGTTACTTAACAAATATTATCAAATATTCGTTTTATTAGATTATTTTTCACTTCGTGGACAGTTTTAAGTAAGTTAAATTGTAAGAAAATTATTTTAAAGTTCGCTTTTGTTTAACCCTTGAAATCCCCAGGGTAGTTCATTTTCTTATCCCATAATTTCTAGCAATGATTCATTCGTAAATTCTCATTACCTATTTACTACAAGCTCCTGAGCATAAACGACTGACCTGATAACCTCAGTAATAATTAAATGAAATGTGTTAAATTAAAACGAAATTCTTCTCCCAAGAAGAATGATGGAAAATTTACAACAAACAGTAACGAGACTAAAGCGAAGAAATGATCCTTGCATTTGTGTTTGCAATTTAGCAAGCCTGAAAAAAATTCAGGGCCCGGTTGTTCGGCTTTAACGGGATTTGCGTAACATGGTGTAGAGATATGACGACCTGTGTGGCTTCATAGCTCAGTTGGTAGAGCATCGCACCGGTTACGCGGAGGTTGTCATGAGTTCATATCCCGTTGTTAAATGATTCTGATTCAATATACTTAGCTTGTCAAACTAAAATTTTAACTGACCTGGGGACTTAAAGGGTTGAATTTTTATTAGTTTTGATAGTTTATATAATAGTATATACTTTGTTACTGTGCGAATCAGAAAAGCGTGAACACTTAGATTTAACGCTTGGCTTTTCCTTTGCCAATAATTGGTCTATTTTTTACCTTGTATTTATTTTATTGTTATTTTTGCAAAGCTTTTTTGTAAAACAAAGTGTAAATTTGAGTTTCACAACTATCCTTTTTGCGGTTTGATCATGTCAAAGTTAAATAAAAGTGTTCACGCTTTTTTGATTCGCACAGTAAGTTTCAAGAACATATTTTGTTACGCATTCAACACCATACTTATCAGTAATACTTAATTGGCAGTCCGTATAAAGAGGAAAGATAAAATACTTAACAACTCGCATAAATATAGTCTAAGGAATGCTGGTATAAGTACCTTTACTCTCCGAAAGATCGCTGACCACAGGACTCCACGATCGTTGGCTCAGTCGAAACTTGGAGAGTTGAAGAAGAAATACACAGATCTAGAAGGCTGGTCCTTCATATCATTATCATGTATATTTTCATGGAAACGGCACAAAGGAACGGAATCAATGGTAAAAAAAAATTACATGTCATGATGATTTTATTCCGCATTAAACCTAGAGTTAAATTGATTTTGCATGCACAGTAATTTATTGGGAATTTACCATAACGCCGTTGCCGCCTTTTTTCCCATACATACTTGCTGGTTGAGCATGTTCAAGAGTACTGATTATTTTTATTACACACCTTTGTTTTATCAGAGTTTTTGTGAGAGTGTATTTGTTCTAACAGCTTTATACCAGGCGCGAATCCATACCGGCAAACCGGTTTCCAACCTTTTCTGATGGAAATTGGTCAGATTTCCTTTTTTTTTTCAGGAAATGAAAGGGCAAACTTCCGAGTTCATAGCAGGATGATATTGCGCATGCGACATTCAAAACGTTATGTGACAAGCGTTTTCTATCGCCAAATTGATGTTTCGTAGAATCAAATCTGAAAGGTTTTCCGCGGGGCGACCATGCACACGGACTCCCCTAGCGTACAGTCCGCGCCTGACCAGAAAAAAATGTCATTAACCCGTTGGTATCTCCAACCCCTACTATAAATCATCATTCCTAGATGGTAAAACATTCAATGACCCAGCAGTGGTTTGTTACGGTCGTACCACAGACAGTCCACAGGGAACCAAGCAAAAAAGTCTTATTATACATTTTTGTGCGTAGTATCGCTGTATATGTTTCGACGTCAAATGACCATGTAGTACAAATTAAATGTACAGCCGGATGCTACATATAAAATGTATAATAATACTGATTTATTATACAACGATTTTCTTTCCTGAAATCTAGATTTTCGTTGCGTGTAGTCAGGAGAGCAAAGAGGACTACAGTAAACTCTCTCTAAAGCGGACACCCTCGGGACCCCGCCTTAGATAGGTGTCCGCCTTATAAAGAGTCAATATAACTTGACACTATAAAAACCCGTGACGTCAGTCCCTTTAGCGGCTCAGATCAGTTTGATATTATTATTGCTAGGTCAATGTGAAATAATATCCGGCCTATAATCTATTGATTGTGCAAAAAAATGCACTTCTAGTGTCCGCCTTGAGAGGTATTTTTCACCAGAATTTGACTAAAAAAGTGTTCGTTGTCCGCCTTTATAGAGAGGTGTCCGCCTTAAAGAGAGTTTAGTTACAGACAAACAAGTGAAATTCGGCCGGGACCAGCCATTCATGTCCGCCTTAGGTAGGTGTCCTCCTTACGGTGGTGTCCGCTTAGAGCCGGGAGTTGACTCAGTGTACAACTACAAATGATAAATTATTGTTAACGATATAACTGTATGTACGCTTCAAGTTTGTTTGGCTCAGACCCGGGAATGACTTTCCTGTATCTTAGTCACGTTTTGGGTGGATAACCTTACAATAGTAGGGCGTTCAACAATGGGTGAAGATAAGTTACTAAAAATAACAATGTCTGAACCGGCAATGTTGAAGGTGATTTATTTGAATTCGCTTCCATTAGTCAGCAGTTAAAAGAAACTTTATTTTGCATGCGAACAACGGTGTTAATACTATTTTAAATACAAAGCTGTTACATTGAACATGTATAACATGCACAATAGTCGTTTTAGAGGAACTGTTCCTAAAATCTTCGCCTTTTTGAAAAGCGGTTTAAAAAACTGTTTAGTTTTACTGAAATATAAAATCGTGATGCAACAAAAATCCATTATATGAATGATTTCACGCTATATACATCTTGAACTGTCTAAAATTACAACGTGAAGGTTCGTAATGGCTTAATTACGGCGAAACATCGAATACTAAAAGGTATCTACCTAGTCCAGTTCTGGCCCCTTTCTGTCACGCAACGCTACGCTCGCGAGCGTACCGTTGCGGGACAGAGAGGGGCCAGAACTGGACTAGGTATCTACCGTGAGCCGAGTCGCATCACATTCTGTGGCCGTAATCATAACTCGATTCCACTCATAGCATTAGTACTCTGGTAAAATAGTAGTATTACTTAATGTGCTTGTATATAAACAGCACTATTGGCTTGACCAGCACAGTTCTCTGAACGTTTTTTTGCACGGTCGATAAAGTAGGTTAATGCACGACCGGCACCAATGATAGGTCACAAAGTTGTTCAGATGTATGTTGGCTTGCACGTGATGTGCTCCGCTGAAGTGTAAGGTGACCATTTGTTCTTGTTCAGGTAAAACACTCCCGAGCAAGTGGAGTTGATTGCAAAAACCTGTGGTCCGCGTATCTGTGGTATGTGATCCAGAACGATCCGTTCGCCATATGCACAGCGATCCAAATTGAGGTAATAATGAACCCCTGAAAATTAAGAGAGGTGCGTAAGCAGTTTCAAACGAAGAGAAAACCAAATGGGAATCAAGACAAATCAGTCTAAAATCACACTTCTAAATAGCAATGAAAAGTGCAGTAGCGGGTCTGTCTGTCTGTACGGTCTATCTGTATGTCTGTCAGGCCTGTCTGTCTGGTTTGTCTGTCTGCCAATCTATCATGCTCCTTGGTAGAACTAATTGAATTGTACCAATCTTTTATATTTTTATACAACGAGCTGAAATTACATTGCATAACGGACTGACTACACTCTAGACTAGGAAAAGGGGTAGTTTTGTATCACTAAAGACAAACAACAAAATAAAACTGGAAAACCAGGGCTTTCAATCTGTTATATTAAACTCTCGTTAATGTTCTGTCTGTCTCTCCGTGTTTCATTACCAAACATTGACGTCAGGGGAAACGGGTTGACTTTATTCAGTACTACAAGTTTCGTGTGAGGTATGTCAGAATTTTACCTTCAGCGTTGTACGGCTCACATCCGTCAAGATCAAGTATTTTCTTCACTCTTTGCCAAGTAAATTCAATCCCGTTTATGGTAGGATTCTGAAAAAAACGAAAAAAAAACGAAGTAAATCGTAAGGCCGCCATCAGACTGTAGATGGTACATTTTCCGTAAATCAGTCCTTACCCGTCACGTTTCGGGACGCCGTGAGGGAAACCGCAATTAACTGTACCAGCATCCACTAGCTTTTTGGTTCCTTCTAGTGAGCCATTCTCATTACACTCTTCAGGAGTTTGGCCTATAAATATTTGTAGTAAGCTCAGTAGCTCGCAGGATTAAAACCCCCGTTAGGAAAGGCCAAGTCAGGACGAATTGATTTCCACAGACTTGCCAAAAAAGTGAAAACGATTCCGTTTCTGAAGCTGATCTCAGTTGACCCTAACAAGACACCGTAAAATCTCGGTTTTGTATTAGCTTGTTATATCGCTATACATACTTGGTAATCATGTGACGTGAATGCAAATGATGCTGTGTGGTCCTTGATGCTCCCTCGTTTACACAGCTGATATTGGTACCAGGTCCCTGGAGCGAGGAACTCGTACAACACAGCGGATACCATCCCAACAATGATAAGAAAGATTAACAACTTCCACCTTAGACCTGAAATTCATATAGATACATCCGATATTAGCTAGTTACATTAGATTTAATATGTGGACTATCCTCCATATTGTTCCTTGCCTTCGTTCTAATTAGTCTTCAATTCGTTCGAGTTAATTCTAAGGGAAATCAGAGGTGAAGGGTTTGACATAGGAATTTTCCAGGAGTGGATTACTTGAAGTTGGACATTAATTGAATTTTATACAATTGGCATGAACAGGGAGGGAGATAGATATGTTATGTACTATCAAGAGAATTGGTATTATGTATTTCTTCTCCGTCGATCGAAACAAAACCAATCATCAACAATACTATGCAAAATGGTCGAGACACTCCTCGGAAAAACGATATTCTTTACCTTTTTATTTTTTTTTCATTTGTGGTTTTAAGTTATTTCTTTTGACCCCTTTCTCCCTATTACAATGTTGTAACCGAAAAAATGGAACGTAAATTTAACGTGGAAACAACATTGATAGGGGGGAAGGGGATGTCAAACATAGAAAATTAATAATGTTTAAAAAGGCGCGAAAGTGTCTCAAGTGTTTCTGCATAGCATTGAAGAAATAGAAAATGGCCTACCGCTTGGGTTTACGGTAGTTTCGAATTCTACCAAACTTTCTCTGGAGTGTTTGCATCAGGCTATGTAAACAAGAAGCGGCAATTTTCTATTTATTTTATAAAAGCCGCCAACAAAAGCAATAATACGTCATAACCATGTTACATAGCCTCGTGCACAACGACTGTACAACCAATCAGAGCGCGCGTTACGATTGCTGACCTTTAAGCCACTTTGACCTATCCTTCATCATGACATCCTCAAATCTCCCCTGCATCCTTTCTTGAAGGTTGTTTATGGCATCAGCAATCTGTCCTGACTGTATACCGAGCACTATTGACACAAAGCACTGAACCAAGTGAACACCGTCTTGTGTATTGCTCGTCTTGCTCTCAAGGGCTTGACCCAGTAACG